GCCTCCCAAGTAGCTGGGACTACAGGCACCCACCACAACACCTGGCTATTTTTTGGTTCCAGCCATCATTGCTGTTTTGTGGGCCCAGGCTGGATTCGAACCTGCCAGCTCAGGTATATGTGGCTGGCACCTTAGCTGCTTGTGCCAAAGGCACCGAGCCTAAATTTATTTTTGCATTTCAGATGAAATTATAGTTTTCATTTAAGTCAATGGCCTATCACAGACACATTAATTATTAAAGCATATATTTACATACATATATACATATAGCATCAATGATTTTAAATCACTTTATAAATATTTTGCTAAGTTCTGTCCTTTAGACCCAGAAGCTAAGAGAGTATTTATTAGAATAGCTGCTCAAACTTCTAGACTAGTAAAAGCAGAACTCAAATTACACAAGCAGGAGCTATAATAAAGTGAAGAATGAAATGGATTATAATTTTTAAATTGGGCAGAGAGAGGAGAGAGAAATGATCTTGTAATTACAGAAAAGGCCCAAAAGAATTCAACGATAGGCATGGCACCTGTGGCTCAAGTGACTAAGGCACCAGCCACATACACCTAAGGTAGAAGGTTCGAATCCATCCCGGGCCTGCCAAACAACAATGAAAGCTGCAACCAAAAAAAAAAAATAACCGGGCGTTGTGGTAGGTGCCTGTGGTCCCAGCTTCTTGGGAGACTGAGGCAGGAGACTTGCTCGAGCCCAGGAGTTAGAGGTTGCTGTGAGCTGTGATGCCACAGCACTCTACCCAGGGGGACAGCTTGAGGCTCTGTTTCAAAAAAAAAAGAATTCAACAATAAAAGACCCCTGACTTCCCCAGGGTAAGAGACCTAAGGATATCAGGTTTGTAGTCAGGAAAATCCAACCATACCTATCCAAGCATTCTATCTTGAAGATGTAAAGTGACTGGCTATAAAAGGGGAAGGGGAGATTTGAGTTCTTTGATGTATTGAAAACCATTTTTTAAAAGACATATACTGCACAAATACACTACCCATGATGTTAATATAGTTAACTGTCAACTAAAATCTCTACATAGACCAGAAAGCTGATTCTGCAACCAAGAGAACAAACCCCACTGATACTTTCCTATGAACTTAAAAATCCTACTCTTTGGCTCAGCACTTGTGGCTCAAGTGGCCACGGCGCCACATACACCTGAGCTCGCGGGTTTGAATCCAGCCTGGGCCCACCAAACTACAATGACAGCTGCAACCAAAAAACAGCCGGGTGTTGCGGCTGGCACCTGTAATCCCAGCTAGTAGGAAGGCAGAGGCAGGAGAATCTCTTGAGCCCAGGAGTTTGAGGTTGCTGTGAGCTGTGATGCCACAGCATTCTACCCAGGGTGACAGATTGAGGCTCTGTTTCAAAAAATAAATAAATAAATAAATAAATAAAAATCCTACCCCTTTCTTTGGATGCTAAAGATGCTGTATTTATGGGAGAGCTAAATAATGCTAAAATAATGGTTTTTTGAAGCAGTACCCTGAACCCCATAAATGCATCAATGTACAAAGTTATGATTTAATAAAAAATAATTTAAAAAATAAAAAATAAAATGATAATAAAAAAATGGTTTCATTTCCTCTGCATTCCAAATATGCCAAATGAAAACAGAAATATTACAATTTTTATGATATTTTAAAATCTTTTTCATTAAAAAGATAGATTAATGCACTAAGAGTTTAAATCTTCTATACCTATAACAAAAGTAAAGTTTAGCACTTCTAAGTTTTAATACAACACTGACATTATTTCCTCCACTAATATTATTTTTTCCAAAAACATGATTCCTAGGCTGGGCACAGTGGTTCATACCTATAATCCTAGCACTCTGGGAGGCCAAGGCAGGTGGATTGCTTGAGCTCACAGGTTTGAGACCAGCTTGAGCAAAACAGGACCCCATCTCTACTAAATAGAAAAACTGAGGCTTGGCGCCTGTAGCACAGTGGTTACGATGCCAGCTACATACACTGAGGCTGGAGGGTTCAAACCTGGCCTGGGGCAGCTAAACAACAGTGACAACTGCAACAGAAAATGGCTGGGTGTTGTGGTGGGCGCCTGTAGTCCCAGCTACTTGGGAGGCTGAGACAAAAGAATTGCTTAAGCCCAAGAATTGGAGGTTGCTGTGAGCTACACTGCCCTGGCACTCAACCAAGGTGACATAGTGAGACTCTGTCTCAAAAAAAAAAAAAAAAAAGAAAAACTGAGGCAAGAGGATTGCTTAAAACCAAGACTTGGGAAGTTGCTGTGAGCTATGACACCACAGCACTCTACCCAGGGTAACAGCTTGAGACTCTGTCTCAAAACAAACAAACAAATAAGAACCCCCCCCCCCCAAACAATCCAATCAACCAACCAACCCCAAAACAAGATTTCCTTCAAAATAAACATCTGGAAAGAGCCATATGAATCTTAATCCAATCATATTTCACAACTCTCTACAACTTTGTATTTTTTTTGTTTGTTTTGTCAAGACAGAGTTCCACCCTATGCCCTGAGCAGAGTGCAATGGCATTGTCCTAGCTCACTGCAACCTCAGACTCAGGCTGTGGGCATCCTGCTGCCTCAGCCTCCCAGGCACTCGCTGCAGCGCCAGGCTGGGTTTTTCAATTTTTTTCATGAGTTGGGGTCTCACTCTTGCTCAGACAAGTCTCAAACTCCTGAGTTCAAGCAATCCTCCTGCCTCAGCCTCCCATAGTGCTGGGATTACAGGTGTGAGCCACCGTGCCCGGCCAACTTGGTCTTTTAAGTACATCTATCCGCCATCCTCTGCAAATTATCAGTAATCTCTCCAGTACTCACATTAACTAGCACTTTCTTTGGGGTAAAGCACACACAATATTACATGATATTGATAAATCTCTCAGAGTTCTTCATTTCTCAAGTATTTATTGAGCAAGTCCCATGTGTCTGGCACTGTTGTGGGCATTGGGAAAAATGGGAAAATTCCTGCCCTCGTGGAGCTTACATTCCATTTAAGGATATTCCTGAAAACAAAAATTAATTTCAGAATATGCAAGCTTCAAAGAAATAAAGCATTGTAACAGGACTGAGCATCGAGAGGGGTGCTCTTTAGTGAAGCCTAAGGAACTATTATTTTTTTTCTTTTTTTGGTGAGGCAGAGTCTTACTCTGTTGTGCTCAGTAGAGTACCTTGGCATACTAGTTTCCAGCAACTTCAAACTCTTGGGCTTAGGCAATCCTCTTGCCTCAGCCTCCCTGGTAGGTGGGACTACAGGTGCCTGCCATAATGCCTGGCTATTTTTAGAGACAGAGTCTCTCTGTTGCTTTTGAATTGTTCTTGAACTCCTGAGCTCAAGCAACCCATGTACCTCAGCCTCCCAGAGTGCTAGGATTATAGGGGTGAGCTACAGTGCCCCACCTAAGGAGGTAACTTTTGAGCAAAGATAAAGGAAGAAACAGACATGAAAGATGTATGTGAGGAGAGTTGCAGGTAGCCCCAACAGCATGCGTAAAGGACCCCAGGCAGAAGCAAACTTATTCAAATATAAGACCAGCTGGATTGTTATATCTCTCTCCTACATGGGTGTAAAAACTGTCTCGTAAATACAGTACCTTGCTGGCATGCGGTGGCTCATGCCTATAATCCTAGCACTCTGGGAGTCTGAAGCAGGTGGATTACTTGAGCTCAGTTCAACAGCAGCCTGAGTAGAGACCCAGTCTCTACTAAAAGTAGGAAAAGTAGCCCAGTGTGGTGGCAGGCACCTGTAGTCCCAGCTACTTCCAAGGCTGAAGCAAGAGGATCACTTGTGCCCAAGAGTTTGAGGTTACTGTGAGCAAGGAGAGCACAGCACTCTACCTATGGTGACACAATGAAACTCTTTCTCAAAAGATAAAAAATAAAATAAAAATAAAAATAAATAAATACAGTACCTCTATTGCCCCAGCCTCTATCAAAAGACTGTAAAAGGCGCCCATAGCTCAGGGGTTAGGGCGCTGGCCACATGTACCAGGGCTAATGGGTTCTACCCTGGCCAGAGCCTGCTAAACAACAATGACAACAACAAAATACCCAGGCATTGTGGTGGGCACCTGTATTCCCAGCTACTGGGGAGGCTGAAGCAAGAGAATTGCCTAAGCCCAAGAGTTAGAGGTTGCTGTGAGCTGCGACATTATGGCATTCCACTGAGGGCATTCTATTTTAACATAGTGAGACTCTGTTAAAAAAAAAAAAAAAAAGACAGTAAAAGGGTGTTGTTAAATTAATAAATACTACTGTTGGTTACTTTTCCTAATAATTAGACAAAATTACCCATCCATTCCCCCTTTTCAAAAAAATTTCAGAGTACTAGGGGGTATACATGTTTGGTTTACACACTTTGTTTCTGTACAGACTGAGTCAAAGTTTTAAGTGTCCCCTTCACCCAGACAGCGTGCACTGTACTAGACAGGTGTTGAGTTTACCCATCCTGTTTTCAACAAGGGTGTACAGTTGATTTTTGACAGATCCCTCAATAGTCAAGGTATTCCCAGGCTACTAGGGCACACCTATTTCACAGATGTTTAGAGGCTTGAAAAAAACAAAAAGCCCTTAGTAATATTTTATTTTTGGAAAAAAGTGGTCTGACAATGGGTACAAGTATTTGATAATCTAAACTCTGGAACCCTACTACTCGGCAGTCAACCGAGATGTATATACTTTTTTAAACCCCTCAGTGCAGGGCGGAGAGCGGGACTCTGCGAGACCAGTTTCAGCGTGCACAGGTACACCTCCGGTCAACCAACCACCCAGCAGAGCGCTGGAGAACACCCTCCTAGCTCCCAGCCTCTTCGCTCCTCCTCTGGGAAACGTACGCAGAACAAGCCGTTCCCGAAGGCCTGGCACGCTGGAGCCTCAAAATGAGTAGCGAGCGCTGCAGGACTGCAAGAAGAAAGCACGTGGGCTGGACTCATATGCCACTGGCCAAGCGTCGTGAGAGAGCCGTGTAGGGCCTCAGAGAAAAGGCTGGTTTTCTCTTCTGGAAGGGAGAAGAGTTTAGGGTGCGACTAAGGGAAAGAAAAAGCGAGAGAGGGAACGAACGAGACCTACGGACTGACAGTGCCCCACTGGGGGGAGGAGGGCGCGCGGGCCCCTGACAACCCGCCGGGCGCGACCCGGAATGGAGGCGCCGCGGGTAGAGGACCTCCGGGCCTCCTTCCTGGCCCTCACAGCTTCTCCGGGCGGGGTCCTGGAGTCGGGACGCTGGGCCAGGCCCGGCGGGACGGAGTGGAAAGCTGGGCACGGAGCCCGGGCGGCCGCGGAGAGGCCGCGCACTTACCCGGAGCCAGGGGGCGCGGGACGGTCCCGGCAGCGCGGAAGCCGGCGCTGCGCCCGCAGTGCTGGAAGGCGCCGGCGAGAGTCACTCGGAAGAGCCTGCAGCTGGAGAGGCCGGGCATAGGTAGCGCGCCCGCGCCGGGTTCGATGAGCTCTGGCCGCCGGGCTCGCACACGTGCGGCGCAGCGACGCGCCGGAGCCGCAGCCCCTCCCCCCGGGCGGAGCCCGCTCCCCGCAGTCACCCCACCCCCGGCCTCGAGGAGGCCCCGCCCACCGGGGGGAGCCCTTGGCTGGAGGAAGCGCTCTCACCCGGACTGCCTGTCCCTGCTTCTGGGACAAAAGGTGGTTTTGTCAGGCATGTAAGAGTTCTTTTAGAGCCGTAGGATGTCGAAAGCTGGGATTTATGTAGTATTTGTTAGTTGTATCCTAGTAAGGATTTCTTCTTCATACTTGTGGCCCTTTCTTATTGCATTTCACCGGGGTTAACAATAAGGAAAAGTGAATCACTTCAGGGACCCTATTTCTGTGTCCTACGATATGGAGGATTCAGGAGCATCATTTCCTCACCCTGTCCCTTCCCGCTTAAAGCTCTCCAATAGGATCTGCTTCAAAAAACTTGAAGAATTTTTTCAGATCTAATATTTTGCCAAATTTCAACCTTGAGTGAAAAAACCAATGTTATTTCACATCCTTACATTTCTGCTAGACTTGTCTTTGTTTTGTTTTGAGACAGAGGGTCCCTCTGTGCCGGGCTGGAGCACAGTGACGTTGTCATAGGTCATCACAACCGAAAGCCCCTGGGCTGAGCCAGTGGTCCTGCCTTAGCCTCCCAGTAGCTGGGACTGCAGGCGGCCACCACCTCCCTGGATAACTGTTTGGGGTTTTTTTGCAGTTTTTGGCCGGGGCCAGGTTGGAACCTGCCACCTCCGGTATTCGGGGCCGGCGCCCTGCTCCTTTGAGCCACAGGCGCTGCCCACCTGGCTAACTTTTCGGTATTTTGTAGAGTCAGTATCTTAGTCTTGAGCAGGCTGGTCTCCAACTCCTGGTCTAAAGTGATCCTTCCTCCCCAGCCTTCCAGAGTGCTAGGATTACGAGGTTGAGCCACCACGGTAAGCATAGACTGGTTTCTATAGTGTGGATTTAGTGTGGGGACCTGGTCAACTGAGTTGGCTAACTGCCACAGTGGTGGGGGTTTTTATACTGTTTTCCTCTGAGATTATTCACCTCAATTATGTACCTCGATTTTTTTCTGACCTTAATTCTTTAGGATCACTTGTCCTTGGGCTATGAATAATTCATAGCTTAATATTTCTGTGATATCAAATACATAGTATCAAATAGTAGATGGTTAAATGATTTAATAATAATAAATCAATAATCAACAATAATAATTCATTTAATAATCATTGTGGTACAAATATTATTATAAATAATAATTATTATATATTATTATTTGTACCACAACCATGAAGTAATAATTCAATAAAGGGCCAATGTATTAGGTGTATAGTGATATCTCATTGCTGTTCTGATTTGCAGATACCAAATGCTAGTGAGGATGTGGAGGAATAGGAACTCTCAGTCATGGCTGGTGGGAATGCAAAGTGGTACAATGACTTTGAAAGATGGTGGGGTTTTTGTTGTTGTTGTTGTTTGTTCTTTTTTGGGGGGGTTGTTCGTTTTTTGCAGTTTTTGGCCAGGGCTGGGTTTGAACCCGCCACCTGCAGCATATGGGGCCCGTGCCCTACTCCTTTGAGCCACGGGTGCCACCCATAGTTGGTGGTTTTTTACAAAACTAAACATACTCTTAAACCATATGACTCAGCACTTAAGCTACTTGGTATTTAACCAAAAGAGCTGAAAACATGTCCACACAAAAACCTGCACACATATATTTACCGCAGTGTTATTCATAACTCCCAAATCTTAGGTAGAACCAAGATGTTCTTCAGTAGATAAATGGATAAACTGTGGTATATGTAGATAATGGAATATCATTCACCACTAAAAAGAAATGAGCTTAGTAGGTCAGGAAAAGATGTGGAGGTAACTTAAATTCATATTACTAAGTGAAAGAAACCAATCTGGAAAGGTCATATACTGCTTGATTGCCACTATATGACAATGTGAAAAATGTAAGACTATAAAGACAATAATAACATTGGTAGTTTCCAGGAATTGGCAAGGAGGGAGGGATGAATGAGTGGAACACAGAGGAATTTTAGAGCAATGAAATAACTCTGTATGATCCAAAAATGGTGACTACATCCTTATACATTTGTCAAATAAATAGAATGTATAATATCTATGAAGAGTTAGAGGGAACCTTATGTAAACCATAGTCTCTGGGTGATAATGATTTGTCAACATAGGTTCATCAACTGTAACAAATGTCATATTCTGGTGGGGGATGTTGGTAAAGCAAGTTATGCATGTGTGAAAGTAAGGAAAAATCTCTGTACTGTCCTCTCAACTTTTTTTTGTAACCTAAAACTGCTCTTACAAAAATCTCTGAGATCATGGCCCAACTTCTTATAAACATATTTGGAGGAAAGACTTCACAGTTCTTTGGCCATGACTGAGTCCATGGTCAAAACATACCCTTTTTACATTTCAACCTATACTGCCTTAGACAAGGTCCAAGTGAAACACACATTTTTAGTTTTCTGTTTTCCAAAGTAGGCAACTCTTTATTGGCTTTTATGCTTAACACAGAAGTTCAATGCCTCTCCCCTCTTCCAGTTTCCTCTAATAAACATTTAACAATTGAATATTCTCAACTTTAAAACTCCATTCTATCATGTATATTATATATGATACAGAGTATCCTGCCTTTAACTCCACACCAGCACTATGGATTGCGCCCAACACACACCATTTATCTTTCATCCTTATTATTGCCTCATACTCTGTCCCACTGTGCTACTTTTCTTCACATGCCCTTTCATTGTTCATGGTCCCTCAGTCATTGCAAATATTTCTGTTGTTGAACTGATACACTTACTCTAAAATTATTTATTTCCATGTTTGTTTCCTTTACCAGAAAGTGAAATTTTTAGAGGCAAACATTGTGTTTAGAGCAATATTTTTCCCCTTTAATTTTTTTTTTCATATTATACATGTATAACATGTCTGTGGTTTAGAGTCAAATACTTCTGTAAAAACTTTGTAAGCTTTGCAAGGAAACCACACCTCCCCTCACCTGTTTCTACGTTCTTAGTTCACAGTTATTTTACTTCTTTTACTTTTTTTTGTTTGTTTGTTTTGCAGTTTTTTGGCCAGGTATATGGGGCCTGCGCCCTACTCCTTTGAGCCGTAGGCGCCGCCCCATTTCTTTTAACTTTTTATTACTAGTTTCATCTCTCCATGTAATGTGCTTGTGTTGCTATTTCTTGATTTTTTCACTTTTAGGTATTATCTACTGGCTTAATGGAAAAGAAAGGCTTAGCCCTCCTTCCTTTCCTCTTCTCCCCCCCATATTTCCCATCCCTCCTCCTGCCTGATGCGGTTTTGTTTTTTTTTTTTTTTGATTTGTGTTTACTTCATTATGAAGAGGTAAATATTCACATTTTAGAAAAGTAGGAAAGCATAATACTTCTTTTTCCTCTGGTTAATAATGATCTAATTTTGGTTTGCTGTTCATCACTAAGCCAAGCCCACACTCCTTAATGATTGTTTAACTCTTCCCTCACCCAAGGTTTTAGATAGATGTGATATTCTGTTGGTTTCATCTTTGTAAAGGAATCTCTTCTGGAGTTCTCTGACCTGTACTGGTCTTGCTTAGTGTACAATTATTGGGGCATCTCTGTTCATTTTTCTCCTGTGTTGTATCTTCTGTGTTCTATATCCTATGTCTTCTTTTTTCTTGGTTTACACTCTCATTTTAGGGGAGCACAGCCTTCAGTAGCTTCCTGAGAAAATGAAACTAAATTTTTTGAGATCTTGAATGTCTAAACATTCCTTTACTCTAATCTTACATTTTATTGATAGTTTATTAATAAAGTACAGAATTGTAGTTTTAAATAAATTTCCTTTGCTCTGCAAACTTGCCAATAAATAAATACATAAATAGGGTGATGCCTGTGCCAGCCCCATATGCCAGAGGTGGCGGGTTCAAACCCAGCCCCGGCCAAAAACTGCAAAAACAACAAACAAACAAAAACAATAAATACATAAATAAATTTCCTTTTGAAATTTGATGAAATTGCTTCCTCATCTTCTAGCTTTCTTCCTTGCTGTTGAGAAATTCAGACATCTTCTGATTCTTGATCCTTTGACTAGTTTTTCTCTTTGGAAGAAAGATTGTAACAGAAAATACAAGGGGTCAGAGTTTAGCCCTGTAATGTTATAATCGGAAGTTGGGAGAAGGGGTAAACCCCTGGGAAAAAGAGCACACAGAGATAGGAGGGAAAAGATAAGAACTTATGCTGGGAACTGAAATAGAGAAAAGCAAAGAAAAAGAAGAAATATGGTATGGTCACATAAAATAATTAAGAACAAAATAAAAAACTGGAATTCAATGTCTTAATGCATATGAGCTGCTATAACAAAATTTCAGAGACCGAGTGGCTTATAAACAACAATCAGTTTTTTCTGCAGTTTTTTTGCCCTCAGTATTCTGCAGTTTTATAGTGATGAGCTTTGGAGGGGGTCAATTTTTGTCAATTTTTCTGGACAGGGACAGGGCATGACGGAATTCTGCTGGACAATCAGTGGACCATTTCAACTGGAAACTCATAACTTATAGTTTGGGGAAATTTCCTTGAATATTTTGTTAATAATCCCTCCCTCCCCAACCCCTGCTCATATTTTTTTTTGGAATGCTTGCCTTTCTTTTTATTTACTTCTTAATTTTTTTTTTTTAAAGACAGGCTATTGCGCTGTTGCTCAGGTTATCCTGCAGTGGGATGACCATACCTCACTGTAACCTTCAAGTCCTGGGCTCAAGTGATCCTCCAATCTCACTTTCCGGTATATAGCCTTAGTCCCAGTAGTGGGACTACCAGCCCACGGTAGCACTCCTGGCTAATGGAATTCGAGTTTTCATATTTTGACCCCTACTCCCTAAATTAGTGGTCCTCTAATTTATTATCTTTTCTTTCTATTTTCCATTTTTTTATCCTCTTGCTATTTTCCCCCTTAGGGTGTTTGGGAACTTTTATCTTAACAACCTTTGAACTTTTTATTTCTGCTATCATATTTTTGTTCCAGAAGGCTCCTTTTTAAAATAGTATCCTTTTCTTTTTCTTTTCTTCTTGAGACAAAGTCTCACTATGTCACCCTGCGTAGAGTGCTGCGCTGTGGCGTCACAGCTCACCGCAACCGCAAACTCTTGGGCTTAAGCGATTCTCTTGCCTCACCCTTACGTAGCTGGCACTACAGGCGTCCGCCACAACGCCCAGCTATTTTTCTGTTGCAGTTGTCTTTGCTGGGTTCGAACCTGCCAGCTCCAGTGTGTGTGGCTGGCGCCCTAGCCGCTGACCTACAAGCCCCTTTTCTTGTTTTATGCTTGCGATGATAACTCATATATTAGGATATCAATGATATGTTTATGTATACCTATACACATATAAATATATATACTTGAGTTTTCTTTTCACCGAACGCTTTCTATTTCTTAGGGTTCCTCCCCCCCCCCCCCCGTTTTGTCCTGGTCTCTATGGTACTGGCTTGCATGTTAGCTTGTTTATGAGGTGGTCAAATACCTGGTCCCCTACCTACCTCCTGCAGCTAGGTAACTCCTGTTCCTCTCCCGGTAAAAGAGTTTTGGGGTGTCCACCCTGGGCAAATGCATATTAGATACTGAGTTCTCTTCCTCCATTCAGCTTCTAGAAGGCTCACAGACACATCTACATCCTCCAGTCATGAAATTAGAAGGTCATCTCTAGGGAATCTGACCAGACTTGAAAGATGAAAAGATACTGGAAACCCCTCAACTAAATAGCCCAACCAAGTAACCTTATATTGAGTGTGAGTTCCCACTCGCATTCTCAGAACATCTGGATGTCATCTAAAATACAAATTTAGGCCAGGTGCGGTGCCTCACACCTGTAATCCTAGCACTGGTAGGCCAAAGTGGGTGGATTGCCTGAGCTCCAGAATTCAAGATCAGCCTCAGCAAGTGTGAGACTAATAATAATAGCCCAGAAAAACTAGCAGGGCATTGTGGCAGGCACCCACAGTCCAGCTACTCGGGAGGCTGAGGCAGGAGGATTGAGCCCAAAAGATTGAGGTTGCTGTGAGCTTTGATTTCACTGCACTCTACCCAGGGCGACAGAGCGAGACTC